CAACATCATGAAAATTAAACCTTATATTCAATAAGCAATCCTGAAAAATATTTGGGGGTGCTTAACTTTTTTCCAGGTGTATAGTTCTCTCTCACGTTTAATTATATATTATCTATAACCAATAGAACGCTAAAGTTTTTTCATCTATCAAATCAAGTATTATATTACGTTGTGTTCTGAATAGAGAATTGTTAGTTTCTCTTTTAGTACAAGCTTTGTTCCAAGGGGAAAGATAACGACTAGCTTGGACGAATTTGTAACGGCTCTTATAGCATAGTTGGAAAGCCGAAAATATTGTGATAGTTAGGGAAAAGTGTCTGCTTTTTGCATGTTATTATTTTATTTTTATTGATGCATTATTTAATTAGATAAAAATTATTTTATGCATTACTACCATTGATATAAAAAAGTAGAATTAAGTGTCATTGACAGTCGACTGCAAAAAATTGAAGACAAGGGTAAGTACTATATTTCTTGTTTTTTATGTTTATTTTTTATTTATTATTATAAAAGTAACTAAAATGTAAAAATAGGGATATTTTAGGTTAGTTAAGGTTACGTTAAGTAAAATATATAATAACAGTAATATAATAATTTTTCACGAGGCAAGCACGCAAGCAGTTCTGAGTGGTTCAGTGGCTCGTGGGTAATGTAATTCGATAGCATAACGTGAGCTGCATGTTCTCCAAGTGATTTACAATTCATAATGGAGCGAATAGTAGTTAGACACGGTTCAAAAGGCAATAAAATAATAAAATTTTAGTATAAATAGATGTATACTGTTACGAGTTTAAAGCTACTTAGGATAAACAAATGTAGTTTTATGTTATGTTTGAAGTTATTCTAGAAAGAAAAATAGGGTAATTTAGATATTTTTTGTGGTTACAAGGGCGGTCAAATTGACCAACCTTGTATAGAGTTAGGGTAGAGAAAATAACAGATAAAATATAGTTTAACTGAAAATAAACACTTGAAATCTATTAAGGAAGTTTTAGAGATTATACAAATGAAATTTGAGATGGAGAAAGGTATTTTTCATTTTAACATAAAAATCCCTTTGCACACAGACTATTCAATACAAATACTCGATATATTCACGAACAAATCTTTTTCTTTTGGTTTACTAAAAATACTTCACTAAAATATGATTTTTTGTATGTGAAAGACTTCTAACGTTTACTGAAAGACTGACATATGTCGTGAAGATATACACACTATATTAAAAGTTAGTAGTACTAAATTTACAGACTTTGAACGAGTACAAAGAGGTCACGTGGTCGGTCAAATTGACCGAGCTCGTATTGAGAGAATTAACTAAATTATGGTTGATAATTGTCACAATACACTTACCAACAAAGCCACAAGCTAATGCGACGGAATTTGATAGCACATCGTTACGATGGTCCTGAGATAGGGCTTGAGCACTGACAGTTTTAATTCGAAAGGACACGGCAAACAATAAAGCTTTCATTCCTGCAAGAACATCCAGATTTTTACAACTGAACGTACTCACTAACAAACAGTGTAGTCAGAGTTGCCAAGCTAAATGAAAATCTCATTTGAAGTATATAAAATAGCATGAGCCCAAATATCGTTCATATAATATAATTTAAAGCAAAAAAAAGGAATACGTTCTGTAAACATGCGTTACTAACAAATGCTGTGCACGACAGCAGTGTTTCCTTTAATTTTATAACAAAACAAAATTATCTAGAATTATCTAATTTTTTTTATAGAAATAGGTAATTATTAGGTAAATTTCTATATATAAATATCACAAGAATTCGACTTTGGTTATAGATTATCATCATTCAAATATTATACATTCAGTGGCATTTCTTGCTTTAAAAAATATATTTACAGTAATTTAGAAAATTTGTTTTTTGTCAGTTTATCATAAACAGAGTTTTATTGTTGTGGTTCTGACCAACAGAAAAAGAAAGCGTTATGATGGAAATGAGTCCAAATTCTACATCTCCAGCATGGTCCATATAATATAGAATCTTCTCTACTGATTCCCGGATCATCTGTATCGAAGCAACCGACATCACCACAGACAAAATAATCACGGAAACTGGCACGAGCTTTGTACGACCTAAATGTAAAGAATTAATCTGTAGTTAAATTTATAATCTCAGTTTACAGAGAGATAAAAATCGCTGAGAGCTTTTACACTTCAAGCAACATATATAGGTTGGATAAAGGTTCAAACATTGATGTGTTTAGTCAAGCCCAATTGTTTAATTTTGATATCAAAATAAATATTATATTATAGAAAATGTCTCATCTTATTTCAAAAAAAGATAAATCATTTGGCTTACATTTAAGTTGACCAAAGTTATTTTAGATTTTTTAAGGAAGAAGTTCGTCAACCTGGTAAAGCTTAGTAAATCTGCTTGTTTGAATTTATGCACAAAGCTACACAATGGACTATCTGTTCTCTGCCCACCACGGGTATCTAAACCCGGTTTCTAGCGTTGTAAGTCCGCAGACATACCGCTGTGCCACTGGGGGGCAGTAAATCTGCACTTGTTTCATTTGCTTTAATGTATAAATAAAGTAATACATGAGCTATTAGAATGAAGGGAGAGAGATATTGTCTCAAAACAACCGAGTATAGTATAAAACAAGTCGTTGTCATTAATGATAAATATATCTCAAACAATTCTATATATAAAGGGCTTTTTGTAAAACCATAAATCTACATTTATAAAAAAACAAATACTAAATAATTTTCTTAATTATAAGCGTGATTAATTTTGTCTTTCTAAAAATACATTTTTTTAAATTAAACACATTTGAGGTTTTGAACAAGTTATTAGCATAACAAGTGACGTTAAGATCTGAAAAGAATAGAAGAAGCTGCTAAACATTGTCTGGATATTTCTTTAAAGATGATTTAAAAATAGATTAAATAACATGTTTCATTTTAAACCAAGAAATCTAATAAAGAATCAAGAACTTGTTTGTTTAGCTACGCACTGTTACGTCTCTGTATGTTTGTTTGTTAATTTTTCTACGATACAAGTCCTTTCTTAAATAAAACTTGTTTATTCTTCCTCAAAACAACTTTGCAATACACTTAATTTTCACAGTTACACACACTATAGTTCACAACAATCCACTCACTTTCTACCGCGCTTGACTCAATTGTTCAACAGCAACTATAGTTCCGATCTCTGTATCTGCTATCCTCGGTTCCCGCTGACCGTAACTGCTATCCTTGGTGCCCCACTGTCCCTCTTTCTCTCTGTCTAGCGCACTTATATACGATAATACCGCCTCCTCTAGAATCTTCTAGGCACTCAACACGTGCTACCAACGTCACGCGACCCCGCTGTCGTAACACACTAGCGTTTATCGCGAATCTTCTAGATACCTATTACGTGTTACCAACGTCACGTGACCCCGCTGTCGTAACAGCACAATGAGTTATCGCGGTCCACCCACCACAGGGAATCGAACCTTTCGGGTCAAGAAGAGCAATATAACAGCTCTTAGGTTTTTATTGTTTGTTAATAAGGTTGACATCTAACCTTTTGAAAAAGTGTTAATTTTTTAATCTGCAACGGTTCACTTTAGATATTGAATGTCGATATTCAAATTCTCAGTGAGTCTGAAAATTTAGGTTAAAAAACATGACCAGAATTTGTGACCAAACAGCAATATCGACAATATGCAAAACTCAGCAAAAATCGTATTATATGTGCGGTGTAAACTCAGTAACATTCGGAAAAATTAACTATATACTGACCTTGTGGATATCGATAAATATCTTTATTTTTAGTAGCTCTGTTACTCCACCAGAGTAGTATCCCGGCTGCTAAATCCATTACGCTATCAACAACAGAAGATATCACAGCTAATGATCCTGAAAAAACAGCAGTGGTTGTCTTGGCAATTAGCAATGCCTGAAAAAAAACAAATTAGTACGGCCTAGATAAAATGCTAGAAAAAAATAGGGTAGGTAGGCATATTTTTACACTTTTTTATGTACTCGAAAATAGTGTAGGTAGGCGGGGTATTTTTTTAAATTTAATGCAGATACATAGTTTATGATATAAATGCAATTGTAATGTTACGCCTCCGTTCGTTAGCTAATTTTCCGTAAAAATTCTTTCCAAAGAAACTTTAGCGACACAAGTCCTTTCTTAAATAAAACTGGTTTATTCTTTCTGAATACACCTTTGCAATACACTCAATTTCCACAGTCGTGCTATAACAAACGCTATAATTCACAACAAACGTCTCACGTGCTCGACTTAACAATACGTCTCTCTCTCTCTGTCCGCAGTTCAATTACCCATTGTTCCCGTCGCTTCTTGGCCGGTCTTATATATACAAGACTACCCCATATCTAGTAGACTCCCAACGCTTCACGGACGTTCTAGAAGCGCGTGGCGTGTTACTAGGGTCACGTGACTTCCGCTGTCATAACAGTAATATATCACATTGTACTAGATGCTAAGCACTATTAGAATAGGTATTATTTAGACACATGGTCACTACAGAACTAAAATGTAAAATAGGAACTCTTTAGGTTATTTTATTAGGTAAAATAAATAATAATATAATAATAAAATTACGAAGCAAGCACGCGAGCAGCTCCAAGTGGCTCGTGGGTAATATAATTCGATAGGGTAACGTGAGGCGTACGTTTCCCAAGTGATTTACAACTTGTGATGGCGCTAATAGTAGTTAGACATGGTTCAAAGGGCAATAATATAATAAAATTTAAGTATAAATAGATGTATACTGTTACGTGTTTAAAGCTACTTAGGATAAACCAATGTAATTTCATGTTAAAATATCAAGTCATTCTAGAAAGAAAAAAATGGTAATTTACATATTTTTTGTCGTTAAAAGGTCGGTCAAATTGACCAACCTTGTATAGAATTAGGGTGGAGAAAATAACAGATTAAATAAAGTTTTACTGAAAAATAAAACGTTTGAACTGTATTTAGGAGTTTTAGAGATTACGCAAATGACATTTTTGAGATGAAGAAAAGTATTTTATATGATAGCTTGAAAATCACTTTGCACTGGATTGGTAAACGAAAAGCTCGATACATTCATGGACAAATCTTTAATAAACATATTTCACAAAAAATTAGATTTTTGTATATAAAAGACATGTAATGTTTACTGAAAGTGTGCCAAATTTTGTGAAGATATACATACTATATTAACAAGTAAGTATAACAAGTACAAAGCTGTCACGTGATCGGTCAATTTGATTGAACCCGTGTTGAGAGATGTAATTGGCTGAGAGCGTTGACACACCATACCAACTAAGGAATGAGAAAGGTGATTTCATATGACCTTCACTTTGCACAATATAGTAGCAGACTGGTGCAATACTTTAATGAAAATACAATTAATTGAAGAGTGTTTTTCATTAGGGTCAATCGGGAGATAAATTGTTTTTGTGGGGAAGCATTGAAAATACTTTCAAGTGGGCATTGTTACATAAGGTCGGTTGGAAACAAAACATTTTTTCCTTGACTTAATTGCGATGTGGGCTTATTGTTATTTTCCTTTCAATAAATGGATTAAATTTAGATAATTGACTATTTCTATGCTGCTAAGCTCTGATGTTTGTTCCTTTGGTCTATAAAGGTGCATCCATAATGGACACGAGTGGCACCATTTGGAGGAGTTGGTTACTCAGCTGAAATTCAACCTGCCTCTTTCTTTTTCTCTCGTTGCACAACTAAAATGAAACTTACTAATTAGAAGCAAGCTTAAAACTAGGAACTAATTAAAAATGTGATTATTTATTGTCTTTTGGATTGCTTCCCAATCACATCCGCTGTGAATAGACGCTCTGCATCCAATCGGATCAATATTTTGAATCACAATTGTTGGAGTATTAACCATTTCACCTGAATTTTATTATGATTTATATAAGTTATTAAAGATGTTATAATATTTGTTTTGTATTGGCTCACTTTCACTATACACATGTTATTTTAATTAATGACAACATATAGGGTATTACACATAGTTTTCGTCTTTGTACCAATCACTTATTTCTCATGAAGAGTATTTAAGGTCTATCAACTTGTCTAATTCGGTTAATCAGTCAATATTAATGTCACTATCATGTACTTAAAAATTTAGTTTTTAATGTTTTCATGTTGCCCCATATTACAATGGTAGAGTCCTACTAAAGAATCGTCAATAAAAGCAATAATTGAATATTTTAAATTTCAAATTGTCAATATATATGTATACTGTTCACTGTGGATTGTGTCTGCATATTCTGTTATAACACTCACTGTAAAGAACTGATCAGAACAGAGTGAATGTGATAAGGACATATCATATATTTCTTCCTCCTTTTAGCTGTAAAGAATTTTTTAAATTTTCATTTATTTACTTTTTCTGCAATAAGAAACGAAACACGTGGTCCATGAAAACCTCTGGAGTTGTCTTACTTTATTTGCTTTGTTTCTTTGTTCAACAGTAGATAACATCTTCTCTGCCCGAGAGGATATTGCACATGACACATCTGTGTTGGAAAAATTACTGAATGTAATATCCTTTGCTAACCAACTGGATGATGTTTATATGTTATAGCAAGTGAATTCTGTGAGAGAACAAGGGTCACAAGATGACAGTGACGACTGGAAAAACAAACAAATTTTACATGTTGAATTCAATTTTTTTTTTGTTCGTTTCAACTATGAGTTCTTGAAGTGAAGGTCATATTTTAAGACCATCGTGTTTATTTCTGCAGAGGTTAATCCCAAGAAAGTGAAAACTGTAGGACTAAACAACACCTAGCATATAATCCACTGTGGTCCTTTCTATGTAATACATACCACACGTTTTCTCTTTGTTTATAATAATGATTGGGTTCTTTATCCTATTTTAAAAAGGAAAAAAAACATTACGTTTTCCTAGTCCACCTGTTGATGCAGGTAAACCTAGGGAAACATAGTTTAAAAATGGAAAACAAAATTTTTAAAAACATAAACATTTGTTTTATCAGTGTAATATGGGAGGCGAGCATAACATGGGTTTCTTACCTTCTATAGCAATATAGAATTAGTTTCTAGCATTATCGTATTCTAGCTGCCTCATTATTTGACCTCTAGTAGGTGACGTTTTCTTTTTTTCCTGCATGGATGTTTTAGTAATGTATATAGAACCCGATTAAATTAGTTAACACTGGAATATCCCTTGCTGGGTGACTATTACTTTCATTGAAACTGACAGCCGACCAATGTTGTCAGGAAACATAGGGCACAAGGTGACATCGACCAAAGGACAAAGAAAGCGAGTTAACATTCTATGTACATTCTTAGTTTCTGTTCTCACTAATCAATCTACCTAGATTATCTACGTTTTTGCAATCATTGTGTTTAGTTTGGGGCTTGAAAGTAAAGATGAAAAAAAAGCTAAACACCTGCTAGAAGAGAAACTACTTTTGTAGTGTTGTTTTTGTTTTTGTTTATTAGTGTAATAAAGATTTTTATTCGTCTAACACACTTGGTAGTCTGGTCTTTTTATTTTACTCTTATAGAAAAAGCAAACAGATATTATTCTCACAAAAATACTCTCGATCGTCCTTGACGAATCTATTGTTTTTGCGAGTTCGCTTGTCTGAAACTTGTAGGGAAAATCGGTTTCAGCCATGAATACTACATCCGTAATCAAAACTTTAACTTTCATATTTATAATATAAAATTAATTAAATAAAGATTGTGTTATTTTTGTGAAAATTTTGTCCAGTCTCATTATTCCTCATACACGAGAAAACTCAATCAAGTTTTCAAATTCAGACTACTACACCAATTTTCTGGCCAAATTTGCTGTTATTAGAGGGTATAACTTTTGATAATTGTAGGGAAATCAGTGGAATTAACTGTAGGTTTGATGCTATTTTATTTAGTTAGTTTTGTAAATTTTAATTGATATGTTATTAGAAACCCTATATCTAAAAAAGTCGTGAGCTCATAAACAAATTGGTACAGAAAAGAACTTGGAAAATTAGTTTATACATCATTGGTTATTAAATGGCTAAGTATACTTTTTTATAATATTGAAAAAAACTTACGAAGAAACGACGACAATTAACACTGAACATTTTGATCACCAGAGTTTCTTTTATTCTGACATATTGTTGGAACTACGTACGAAGAAGGCAAAGTTGTTTTCGTCAGAAGTTCCATCACATTCTTGATCCAAATATCTGAAGAATTACCAGAAATAGGTTCGAAATGCTCTTTTATAAGTTGTTTTACATATTCTGATTTGGTAAATCTTCAAACATCTAGGATCAAGAAATGTGATGTGAGTGTTGACGAAAACAACTTTACCATCGTATGTAGTTCGAAAAAGCGAAAAGATATCAGCATAAAAAAGCTCTAGTCATTAAAAAAAATCTTAAATTTGAATTGAACTCGAACTCATCAGCAACAGAACTATGTATAAAAAAATTAAGATAATTCATCCAAGGATTTCATGTTTTTGATAACTATAAAAATAAGATAAACTTTCAACGTGTTTGAAAAACGTTTGAAGTTGTTCGTTTTCTAAGTAAATTCTAGTTTTTAAGAATAAAAGATATTTACCAAATTACAGAGGAATGACAACTTTGATATTATCATATCGTTTCTCCTTTGTTTCGAAAAATCTGCATCATGGTTGTTTGAAAGGTTCGTTCTACTGCTTTGAATATGCAGCTCTTCATACGAAGATATCAGATCGTTCTGGATTTTGTAGTACCGTCTGAAAATTAAGGAACAAAAACCTTATGTCGTGGTTGAATGAGAAGTTACTTGTAGGTGGTGTTTACATTTTATATAATTGATTTCAACACCATCAAATTTGTTTTTTAGTCATCCTAAGAAAAATTGGATAAATTAGTTTTCCCAGATCATACCACGTGAATATGCTGAAATCACACTGATGACTTTAAAGGTAAAACCAGATACACTTATTTAAGAAACATGTGAATCCTCAAGATAGTAAAGTATATTTTATAGTTAAAATATATAAATAATTCTCTTTCTCGTTTTTCTGGACAAGAACAAACTATTGAAGAATTAAAGCATTATCATAAGCCTTTTTGTTTTGGGGTTGTTTATTATTTCTAGCAGTTTTATTTATTTAATTAAAAAATAAATAAAGACGTAGTAAACTGGTTTTAGGATCCATCAGCGTATATTGGTAGTAAAGATGTGAGTAGGAAAAATTGAGAGTCAGCAAAGAGACGCAAGAAAAATGACTTGATCCTACTTCTTGCTCACATTCTTACCTGTTTGGTATACATACATTTACAAAGTCAGACACTAAATCTATTTCATGATTAATTTGACAATAATTAATATGAAATGTTATTACTTACAGGACCAATATATATATATATGCACCATCCCAAACTATAATGAAAACTATCTTCAATCTATTTCGGTTTAAGTTTGTGCGACATGACTTAACCCTACTGTTTCGGTCACTTCTTTGGACTAGATATAACAAAGAAATGTTTTCTTACTGTCAAGAAAACTTGATAACCAATAAGGGACAACATCGTACTTCACAGTGACAAATGAAATACACAATTATATGATCAAATATGTTGTCTAAGACTAAAGCTTTTGGATAAAAAATAACGTTTTCTTAATATTTAAAAAAAACAAGTGTAAAAAAAGCATAACAATTGTTATGGTGTGAACGCCTTTTAGGAGCTGGCGAAGCATGATAAATGAAATAGATTTATCATAAGACATTACGTTAGGCCTATTAAGTTTTTTAATACTACATTCCTAGCTTAGTCCCTTATGAAATTTCAAGAATTAGAAGAGCGTAAAATAATAATATTTGAACCACTCTATATTTGTCATATCCACTGCCGACGACACGTTTCGCTCAATCCAGCTCTATTCAGGCCAACTGGTAGACAACGAACACAGTAGTAGTCGAATACTATTTATATAGGTCATTTGTTACAACAACGACTCTTATGATGTGGACGTTTTTAGAAGCTGGCAAAGCATGATATAATTGATTGTAAAATCATAAATAATATTCAACGT